AAGCAGTGAACTATAACCAGACGGTTATCAGGCCTCTGGAGTCCTCTCTTCCTCCCTAACCTCTCCCAGTTCTGAGCAGTAATGAAGCAAAGTTAGAGCTCAGCACAGATCACAGGCACCTTCAAAACAACGTGGAGGCTACGGGTGATAGCCTAGGAGTGAAGTGCTTACTTAGCACACAGGAAGCCCTGGCTTCCATCCATAGCACCATGGTGGGGCCGGATATGAGACTCACGCAAGTATAATAAGGCTATACCCAATGTCTTCTTCAAAGCAGGGGACTGATGCATTCAGAAAAGTTGGTCTAGGTGATGGGAGTAAGGTTTTCTTTTCTTTTCTTTTTAAAGATTTATTTATTGTGTATACAGTGTCTGTATGCCTGCAGGCCAGAAGAGGGCACCAGATCTCATCTTGGATGGTTGTGAGCCACCATGTGGTTGCTGGGAATTGAACTCAGGACCTTTGGAAGAGCAGCCAGTGCTCTTACCCTCTGAGCCATCTCTCCAGCCCCCTGAAGTAAGGTTTTCTACCCAGAGAACCCCAAAGGCAGGGAAAGGTCACACTCATCCCTCCTTGATACAACATCCTCTCTCACACTGAGCTGGCACTTTGACAAAGATGGTGGATGGAGGAGGGGGCTGGAGATTTTAGGTTAGATTTGTTTTCAACCCCACCTCCAAGCTCCTGGTGCTGGAGGGATGGGTGTCTCATTTCTAAGCCCTTCAGTTCAGAGGAGGAGGCCTGTCTTTACCATCATCATCCCATCTGGCTGTGTCCCTTGCCCCAGTGTGTGTTCATTCCGTTCATCCTCACCTCTTGCAACCTAAGGATGTAGGTACCATTATTACCCCCTCCTTACAGATGCAGAACCAAACCACAGAAAGGGATCCAGCAGAAGCACGCGGGATCCTTACTGGCCTTCATTCAGAATGATGGGCCCCGCCATTGGCCTTCATTCAGAAGGAGCAGGATGGGCAGCATTCTAGAACTCAGAAGATGGATTCTTGGAAGAGGTGCCAATACCTTGACCTTCCTCTCTCACCCTCCTTGCCCTCTTATTTCCTAGATATGCCTCCTACTTGCCAAAATCAACTGGAAACCAGGGCAAGAGGTGATACAGTTCATGGATCACCCTTTAGGGAGTGAGCAGCATCTCAGTGCCGCCTTCCTTCACACTTTTACCCTTCCCTGGGACAACAGCTCAGTTGCTTTCTCTGAATCACAGGCTCCTTCCTCCCTTCCTGGGCCAGTACCCTCCTAGATCCTTGGGGGCTCCAGGCCTTTTCTGGCTTTTAAGGCCATGGTTCTCAACCTTCCTACGGCTGCGACCCTTCAATCCAGTTCCTGACATGGCAGTAACCCCCAACCATAAAATTCTTTTGTTGTTACTTTATAACTGTAGTTTTGCTACTGTAATGAATCGTAATGTAAATGTCTGATATGTGACCCCAAGTGGGTCACGACCTCCAACTCCCCCCCCCCCCCTGTTGAGAACCACTGCTCTAGGGCCACTGTACTAGGTGGAGTAAGCTTTTTCTCTTGCCTTCCCACCCCACCCAACTCTACCTCACCCAAGTTTCTCCAGGCTTGGGATGCCCCACCCAGCTTTTTCAGAAAAAAAAAAAAAATCAAGGAGAGTTAGCTGCAAGCCAGAGCTCATTACCAGGAATTAAGAAGACATGCCCTGAAGCGTAGATGCTTGTCTGGAGTCACTTGCACTTCAGATAGACACCAAGTACACAGAGAAAAGGACTCAAGTACAAGCAGAGCTGCCTCTCCCGAGGTACACTAAGAATTAGGCAGAGAGCCAAAGATGAAGAAAGCCAGAGATGCAGACAGCCTGGCACAGTGAGAGAAAGACAGGCCCACAAGGAGCCCTGAAAAATACATCTTTGCCTGGGTATAGAGACGCAGAGTCAGGTATCCGAACAGCAGCAAACTCAAGTTCCAGGGAGCAGACTAGAGCAAATCAGTGCTTTAAGAAACCTGTTAGTGGGGCCTGGCGGTGGTGGCTACGCCTTTAATCCCAGCAGTCTGGAGGCAGAGGCGGATCTCTGCGAGTTCGAGACCAGTGTGACCTACAAAACTAGTTCCAGGACAGCCAGGGCTACACAGAGAAACCCTGTCTCTGAAAAAGAAAAGAAAAAAGATGACTCCTTCAAAGGGTTCTGTGGCAGGACCTCGAAGCACAGAGGAAGAGCCTTCTGTGAGCCCTGAGACGCCGCTGCCCTTCCATGGGACACTTCTCTTGATTCTCCCTAGCTTCTCCGAAAATGAATTCTGTGAAATGGAGGAGAAACTTTCCTATAGGAAGTAGAGTGTTTTCCTTCCAGAATTTGCTAATAGCCATAACTTTGCCTTTTCAGAGTGGAGTGTTCTTGGGGCGTTCCTAGCCTGGAGGGGTTGCTCCTGTTCCCACTAACCACTCCTGGCTTTAACCGGGCCCAACAGACTATCCAACACCTCTGCCTTGCACCCTGTGGCCCGTCTTGCCTGTCATACCCATCCCAAAAGCCTTGTAGAGCGTAGGCACAGAAGAACAAGTACACACACACACACACGCACACACACGCTTCCTCCTTCCCCTCTCAGTAAATTCGCAATTGTGGAAGGAATCTCAGGTAAAAGATGTTTGTTGAGTTCAGTGACCTTTACAAACCAGCTCCCAGCACCTGCTTCTACCCCTGTTCTCCCACCCTACCCTGGTGCTGCGAATAAAGTCGTCATGAGGGGTCGTTTATTGTTTCCTGTTCTCTGGTCTCTGCTAAGCCCACTTATATTTTTAATTACATGTATTGTTGCATGTGTGTATATATGTGTGCACAGGCCGGGGAGTAAAGGTGGAACTCAGGAGGCAACTTTTGAGGATTGGGTTCTTTCTCTCGTCTTTTGGGTTCCAGAGATGGGTGTCGGGCTTGATGGCAGGTGCCTACCCGCTGAGCCTATGTTAAACCCTCTTAAGAATCACCTCCTGTTTTTACCCCTTTAGTCACAAATAGAGAAACTAAAATCCAGAGAAAGAACACAAACACACCAGAGAGGCTGTGATGGGCGTGGATCCCAGGCTCCACCATCTTCTAGTCCTGGCACCCGAAGGCCTCCTGCCTCCCACTGGCTGATCAGGGATGGAAGGGTCCCAAGGAGAAACTGGTAGGGTACCTTCTCCTCCCAAGGTTTACTACTCTTCCCCCTCAGGGTCTGGGAAAGGGACATTCCCTCTGGCTCAGGTCTTTCCTGCATTCCAGACGTGCCTGACTGTTGGGAGTTGGGGACAAGGGAAGAGTAGAGATCCATGGAGGAATTGTCTTCTCCCACCCATCCCCAGGTCAGAGTCCTAGCTGTGTGGTCTAAATTTGCCTCTCACCGTTTCTGGGCCTATGAAGGGGTTAGGGAGCAAGAGACTTACAACGCACAATTGTGCAGGCCCAAGAACCTTTGGCTTCTACACGGTTAACTCTGCAGGAAGGTTTTCCTCATATTCCTGGTGAAATTTAAGTCAGATAGGGTGAGGAAGCAGGAAATGAGGCGCACTTCCTAGGCCCAGGTGTGCCAGGCTAGTCACACAACCCGTGTCTTACTGGGCATCGGCATGTCCCGGGCTAATGAGGCAGAAGGGAACTCAAGTAAACACAACAGAGGTTCTTGGTTCAGGCAAGTGAAGTAGGAAAGGGCACAGACCCAGAACATAGCCAGGAGTAAAGCTAGAGCGTTGTGATGGGGTGGGTCAGGACAGGGACAGGTTCTAGAGAGCCTAGGAGCACATGAAGGACTTTGGAATATTCTCAGATGTAGTGAGAACCATGGAAAGAGCCCTGTTCTCAGGGTGGGTGCCCTTGAGGAACATGTGTGGATTCCCCAGTTGCAGGGAAGCTGCTGAGAGCGCTGCAGGCAAACTCTAGAAGGAGCTCACACAGCTGTGGAGGTCCCCAGTCTGATTGGCCTCTCCGAGCCATAGGGGACTTAACCCTATCAGTTCTCCAGGCAGTGCTGCCTACCTTGGGGGCTCCAAATTTCCTTCCTGGGGAAGGGAATGAGATGGGAGAATTCGGAGGATACTCAAGAGGGTAGAAGCTGGGGATCCCTGAATACAAGCTGAGATTTGACTCTAGACTAGAGACACCTGGGAGTTTGTGATCAAAAACCACCAAGACTCCAATACAAGTTCCAGAAACAGAGACTATGATGTGGTGGCATACACTTTTGATGCCAGCAGGGCATCTCTCTGAGTTCAAGGCCAGCCTGGTCTATGTAGTGAGCCCAGGATAGCCAGGGCTACATAGACTCTGTCCCAAAACAAATAAAAAACAAGCACAAAGGCACATTTCCTGTTTTATGCATACATTTTATTTTTTTTTTATAAAAGTCAACAGTACATTGTTGATTGGAAGATTAAAGGAAGGAAAAACACCTTTAAGAAGGAGTCTCCCCTATTCCTAAGATTGTAACATATATATATGTATGTATATATTTATATATTTAAAAAAAGAAAATATGAAATTTATGGCCTGGACTTGATCCCCATCCCAATGCCTATCTTATGACAGAAATACATACACAGCCCCTACTCAGGGATCACAGCTCCAACTGTGAGCTATGCCCCTCTTATCACTTCCCCCCTCCCACAGCCTAGAAACCCACTGTAAAAAAAAAAAAAAAAAAAAAAAGAGCAGACACACATACTCAGAAACACACTCTGGGTCCCCCTCCGCATGGAGCCCCTGAAGCATGCACACACCAATACTTTCCTCACAGCTCACTCCCTTTTCCAGGGCTCCCTTGAACTGTTAGGGTCTGTTTTGAAAATTTGGTCCCTTGCCCTGAATGTCTGGAAAACAGCATGTCTGGAAACACACATGAATGCCTGTACACACACACACACACACACACACACACACACACACACACACCCTGCACATTCTTTTCCTTTTGAAAACAAAAGGATGTTTGGTCCTGCTTGATATCCTACTTTGGCTTAAGAATGGGGACCGAATGTCTTATTGGGCAGAGTTCAGTAGAGATTCTCTAAGGGCCACCCAGCAGGGGCAGGTATGGGTAGCGTCTTAGTCTGTGAGAGGTATCACAGGGGGCTCTCAGGGAGTGGCCCACACAAGGTGGGTACTTGAGTGAAGAGTGGGCATGGCTGCTGCCCACTCAGATCTGTTCCTTGTGCTTCACATGAGCCAGCTTCACATTCTCCGCCTCCGTGGAGGGTGGGGGCTGCTCCAGGTGGCATCCAATCATGAGCTGGTACACGAAGACGCCGGCAATGGAACCGAGGAGCGGAGAGACGATAGGTACCCACCACCAATGCCGGCCGGTCCTGGAAGGCAGACACAGGTAATCAGAGACAGGTAGGTAGGTAGGCAGGGCAGAGTAAAGACAAGCTAAGCGGAGTGAGTGGCCGCTGTACTCACGTGAAGACTTCTGAACCCCAGCCAGCTAGAGCGGTGAAAAGACGCGGGCCAAAGTCACGGGCAGGGTTGACAGCATAGCCAGAATTGAAGCCCATGGAGGTTCCAATGACCAGAACCACAAGGCCCACGGTGAAGGCCTCCAGGCCACGGGGGACAGGGTTGTTGTAGGGGTCGACAATGGCCAGCACACACACGATGAGGGAGGCTGTGCCTATGAACTGGAGAGCAGAGAGAACAAGGTGAGGCACAGTTCCTTCCCCTACCCTCTGCCTTGCCCTGGCTAATCCTAGCACGCTTGCAGTTCAGAGGGACGCTCCATGCTTTATATAAAAGACCTGCCACCGTGTTCTGAGGTTGGGGTTCCCACAAACTGAGAAATCCTGCTACAACCAAGGAGTGTCGTCCAAAACAAGCCTGTTCCTCTGCATTTGCCCCACATGTCCCCAGTTCATACCTGATCAAAGAAGCCATTGACCATGTCCAAGTGTCCGGACGGGTAGGTGGCAAAGATGCCAGCTGTGCCATTGGGGCCGGAGACGATAAGTTCATTGTTGGCAAAGCCCCAGATTGCATCTGGTGACAGATTAGACGCATTGTGAGTGAGGGCAGGGCCTCCCCTCTCAGACCTGTCCTCCCCACCCTGCCAGGGGTCATGGGTCAGCATATTACTGTAGACGCACAGAAGGCAGGGTGGGGTGGAGGACCTGAAATTGTTGTTGCCCTACTTGTCTCTTTCCCTTAGAGCCCCCAACGTGGGTCTGAGTGTTAATGAATGAGTCATGAGCTCTGGGCCTGGGCAGGCCTCAGCTGTCATCAACGGGACTGGTGCCAACAAGTACTTAAAGAGGGAAAGTGCAGGGAGAAGAAGGGCAGGATGGGGAATGCTTACCGTAGTACAGCCCAAAAACGATCCCAGCGCCCAAGAAGGCCCCCAGTGTCTGTGCCAGTGTGTAGATGGGCAGCTTGATCCAGGGCTCACGTGCCAGGAAGCACATGGCAAAGGTCACAGCGGGGTTCAAGTGGGCTCCTGAGCAGGGATAGAACCAGTTAGCTACAGCCCACCACCATGGGGAGGCCAGGGCTCCCAGAGCTCCTCCCTTCTGGGGTGCAGGAAGGTTTGCTTGTCCCGCATGGCAGTTGGACTATGTCACAGACTGATAATCTCTGATCCAAAGGTCCCACAGCTGAGGGCGCCGTTCGAACCCGCACGTGGGGATGCCCCTCTCTCTCTCTGCTCTCTAGACAGACACTTGTTGGAAATGACGGTGTGGACTTACCAGACACTTGGCCGGCCACCAAGATGGCAAGGGTGACAGCGAAGCCAAAAGCCAAGTTGATGGTGAGGAAGCCACCATGGGTGCCCCGACTGAGCACCACCTGAGCCACGGAGCCACAGCCAAACATCTGTGTCAGAAAACAGAGCAAATGAGGTCCCGTTGAGACTAGCAACACCAGCCATCAGAGAAGACAGGAGTCCTTCCTGGAACCTAACCCAAATCCCTCCTGCTTTAATTGCGAGTCCTTCGCCCACGATGCTACCTCTTGAACACAGCAGAGCCCTGTGGAAAGACTAGTAATGGACACATGACTGGGAACCCAGAGGGTTGAACAATATTCCCGGGTTTTTCCTCAGTCCCAGAAGAGCCTGGGAGGGGCTGTCACTATAGCAGTTTCTGTCTGTGTCCTCCAGACCTAGCACACAGAGGTAGGCCATACCCTCTCCTGCCTGCATGCTGTTCCAAAGCGGAGGTCACTGTGGAGGTGATGGGAAATACGGAGAGTGGAGGGAGAACTCACTCCTGAGTCTAGAAAAGCAGAGGGCCTGGCTCTCCCTCCCCACACTCTTCCCTCATCTGTCCCTATAGGCACCTCCCAGGCCAATCTTCCCCTTCCTGCTCCAGCCCTCTGCCTCCTGGATTCCCACTCAGACCTCAAGGGTCCCAAATACAAGGTTTTAAGAGGCTTTTCTCCCTAACCCCAGTGAGATCTGTTCTACCCTCCTACCCAGGATAGAGGGACTAAGAGACTAGGGTCCCTCAAGTTCAGCATGTACAGGACATAACATATGTTCAAGAGGGAAAATACTCTCTACCAACTGTAAAGTGCTGTTGTCCTGAGCCTCTAGTGTCCCTCAAAGCTCCTCCAGCCCAGACCTGGGTCTCTTTCTCACATCTCCATAACTAAGCGCTATATGACCTGGGCCTGATTCCAGTACTCGGGAGGCAGAGGCAAGTAAATGTCTATGAGTTCAAGGCCAGCCTGGTCTGCTTAGTGAGTTCCAAGACAACCAGGGCCATGTAGAGAGACCCTGTTAAAAAAAAAAAAAAAAAAAAGTGCCCTGCTGGCCAGCAGGCTGTGCTCCATTAATTCCAATAGGCCCGTGCCGTGCCATGTACTGAGTTGTTAAGCACCGATTACTATCACTCAGAAGGATGAGGCAAGGGAAGCCCGTGGCGCTGATGCGGGTCAAAGGTGAGCAAGCAGGTAAAGCAAAGGTCAGAGGTGATAAGAGTGAGTACGGGGTGGCCGCATATGGAGGTCTGGGGCACCATGCCCAGCCAGACCCTGGCCTGAGCTCAGGCTGACACCTGGCTTCATGCCAAGAAGCCTTGGAAGGAGGAGCTATCAGAGCCAGTTCCACCACCTTGGGGCTAATCTTCCTCTTCCTTCTCCACCCCCCTCACCCCAATCTCCAGGTTCTCAGCTAGCCCTCACCCCACCCAACTATAGACCTCAGAGGGGCTTTTCTCACCCCCAGAGACAACCTGGACTCGACACTGCAAGGTTCTGGGTCCTCAACAACAACTACACAAGCAAGCCCTCATCCATTAGGGTACCCCCTAGGCCTGCCCACCCACCCACCCACCCCAGCTCTGCTTTCCACTGACACCTGATCCCTCCCAACTCCCTGAGCCTGGAAGCCCTCACCACAAATCCAGCACCCTCTCTTTGCGGTCCACGATAAGCCTGGTGATCCTGGGACTCGTTGAGGGCTGCTATTCTTTTAGTAGGAGTTGACCTGAGACTTGGGGAGGAATAAGGAGGCCCCCTGTGAAGTGGAAGCCACCTCCCTTGTCCTTGTTGCTCCAAAACAGGTGGCAGGACTCACAAATCAAGACAGGGAACAGCAGCAAGAAGATGATAGTGCTTCCCCCCCCCCCCCATTCCCTTCTTCGCAGAGGGAAGAGAGGGAAGAGGGACAACCAATAGGCCGCTAGTCTGTGAAGTCAGAGGCAAGTTTGGGCCCTCTTCTCCCCATGAAGCCTCTCGTCATTTAACTGATCTATATTACCAAGGACTGGGGGAGTGAGGAGCACTGAAACTCAACCCAGCCACTGCAAAGGAGCCACTTAATTCAGAAGAGACTCAGGGGAAACAAATGTAACAAGACGGCATGAACGGCTGAAAATCAGAGTAACTGGGACAGGAAATGAACACCGTAACTGCCTGTCAGACCGAAAAATGCACCCAGAGTTACCCAGAACAACTCAGGGCAAAACCGCAGAAACCTCCCCAAAACAACAGAGAGGCAGAGGAAGGATCCAACGGCCAGCAATCCTCTGCAAAGACGCTAAAGCAATGGGCCGCAGACAAGACCTGGTACTATGGCGTGAGGGAAATAAACTTAGACACACACACACACCCATAGGGCCCTAGGGACCTAAGTCCTCTGTCAGGGCACTGTTTCCCTCCACAGCCGCCCATCTTCAGGACATTCTTTTCTTCCAATTTTGCTCGCAGCCCAAGAGACCTGCGCCCTCTGCCCCCACCTGTGGTAATCTGTCCTCCCTTCGCTGCAACTTTTGGACTTTCTGAGGCTTAATTATTCATTAGGGGCCAGACACCCAAGACCCAAATAACCTAATGAGGGGATCGTTTGCCTTCACTGTGTGCTGGGGCTGGGGCTCTGGGAAGCTGGAAGACTGGACAGAGAAAGGCCTGGCGGTCCCAAGCTGTAGGGGTGACCCTGCTGGCAGCCTGTGATCTGGGTCTCCAGGGGGAACGGCGTTCATTCTCAAAAGTCAGGGCTGTCAGGAGCTGACTTAGAACTGTGAAGACAAGGGCTTCGGAGGTCATCTTGACCCCTGAGGGTTAAGCCTGGAGAGCGGAGCTGGGGATCTGGTCGGGTCTGCCTTGAAAAACTGTCCCTCGGGTGAATAAGGAGTTGGGGAGCGCGGGACTGGAAAGAGAGGGCTGTTCACTTCCCTGCACTCACCACAAGGATGAGGGTCCCCAGGCACTCCGCCAGAGCCTGGCGAAGCAGCCGGTAGCGGATATGGAGCATCTCCCCGCAACGGTTCACCAACTCCTTCTGTCGACCCATGGCAAGGCAACAACGCAGTCGGACGCGGGGGCGAGAAGAAGATTAGCGGCGGGCACCGAGAGCGGTGGTGGCCCGGAGCCTAGGTGGCGCCCTTTTATATGCACGGGAGAGCAGCCCCGCCCTCAGAACCTCACCGCAGAGTCCTGCCGGGGCGGAGAGAGCAGCCACCACCCACCGCCCAGCCTAGGGGCGCTGGAGGGTGACAGGAGCTGGTGAAGAAGATTCGAAGGAGCTTTAAGGGTGGGTTGGCTCTGGAGGGCACTTAGGGGAAGGAGTCAATTTAGGGGAGGCGTGAAGTACTGTGAAAAAATGACCCGAAGTGAAAAAACGATCTCCTGAGTTTACAGTGAGTCTTGTGGGCATCGTTTTACGCTATGGGTGAAACCTGTAATATGTAAATACCGGAGAGGAACCAGCTTGCTACAAGATGCTACAAACAGGTCCTCAGTCAGGCGGCTGAAAAGGAGGCTATGGGCCCCAAGTGGGAAGAGAACTCACAGTACCTCCCCTGGTGGGCACAAGCGTGTTGAGTTCTAACCAGAATTCACCAGCCCTTCTTGTGCTCTAGGAACAAGTCACACGTTGTATGTGTTGGTCGGTTATGTCCATAGCTGTGTTAACATGGCATATGTCATGTGTGCCTGATCATATGACCTTTGATGTGCACACGCCGGCTGGGGTACCTGGACTTTCTCTTGTGGGGCTTCCTTGCACTATACCAGTGGCTCCTGAGGCTGAGCTAAGATTGTCCTGACATGCCACATCATCACGCCAGCAGGGTGAATTCCAGCTGTTTTTAACCCTCTCCTTTCCCCACCTGATTGACCGCCCGTCAGAAGTAAACCTATCCTTTTGAGGGATTAAAGTGGGGGCCAGGAGATGGCTCAGCAGGAACAGGGCTTACCACGGTGGACCTGTCAATTCCTGAAACGTACCTGAAGGCAGGAGAGAATTATCCTACACATTTCTAGTGGTGTATTCCACACATACTTTTTTTTTTTTTTTTTTTTTTTTTTTTTTTTTTTTTTTGGAGACAGCGTCTTATTGTGTAGCCCTGGCTGACCGGGAACTCACCATGTAGACTGGTCTTTAAATTTGCAGAGATCCGCTGCCTGCCTCTGCCTCCCAGGTGCTAGGATTAAAGGCATGTGCCAGTACATCTGGCATAATTAATTAATTTTTTAAAAGAGAGATTAAACTGAGCCAGTTATCATGGCACATACCTGTAATCCCAGCACTCAGGGGATGGAGGCAGGACAATTGTGAATTTAGAACCAGCCTAGGCTTCATAATGAGACCATATCAAAAACAGAGAGTTTCCCCAGCTACTTGGGAGGACAACAGGAAGTTTACAAGTTCAAGGCACGTTGTCTTAAAGACCGGCAGCTTATAACCACCAACTCCAGGAGATACTGTTTATATCTCTGTGGGCTCCTTCACTCATGTGGGCAAACTGACAACAGACACATAATTTAAAATAATAAAAATAGCTGGACGGTGGTGGACAGAGAAAGAAGGATCTCTGAATTCAAGGCCATCCCGGTCTAAGGTCTGAGTTCCAGAACAGCCAAGGCTACACACACAAAAACCTGTCTCAAAAACAAAAAAATAAAAAATAAAATGATTGTGCTCACATTTAATCCCAGCACTCGGGAAGTAGAAGTATGTGGATCTCTGTGAGTTCCAGGACAGCCTGGTCTGGTCTACACAGAGGATTCCAGGACAGCCAGAGCTACAGTGAGACCTTGTCTCAATCCCTTCCCCCCACACACACCTCAAAAAAGAAAGTCTATGTCTTAAAAATCTAAACTATGGACAAAGAGAGAGAGACAGACAGAGAGAGAGAGAGAGAGAGAGAGAGAGAGAACCTCCAACAAACTGTAAGAATGTATCCGACAATGCATCGGTCAGGGGAGCATCGCTCTCTCTCAGTGCTGCCTTCCTGCCTTCCTTCCTGCCTTCCTTCCTTCCTTCCTTCCTTCCTGTCTGCCTGCCTTCCTTCCTTCCTTCCTTCCTCCCTCCCTCCCTCCCTCCCTGCCTTCCTGCCTTCCTCCCTCCCTCCCTCCCTCCCTCCCTCCCTCCCTCCCTGCCTTCCTGCCTTCCTTCCTTCCTTCCTCCCTCCCTTTCTTCCTGCCTTCCTGCCTTCCTTCCTTCCTGCCTGCCTTCCTTCCTTCCTTCCTGCCTTTTTTTTTCTTCTCTTCATTTTCCTCCAGTGCTCTGGATTAAAACCCAGGGCCTAGAAAGCAGCGTGCTAAGCATGTATTCTGCTATTGAACCCCACCTCCACCAGGTGCTACATTTATTTACCTATTCACCTTGGTTTTTTGTTTGATTGACTTGTTTGTTTGTTTGTTTATGAGACAAAGTTACTCAAACTGTGCTCCAAACTGGCCTTGAACTCACTCTTGGTAACCTCTTGCCTAAACCTCAGGTCTGGGCTATAGACATGAACCTCTATACCCAATTTCATTTAGTAATTGGGAAATTGGACTGAGAATGTAATTCAATGGTAAAATACTGACCTAGCCTGTCCAGGGTCTCGAGTTTGATCCCTGGCAACAAAAGGATAAATCAATCAACTGATCAACTCATCAACTGAAAACAGGTTTAGTGGCCTAAGCCCTGCTCTGGTACAACTGGGAGAGAAGATTGCTTTCAGAAGCAGCTTTTGTCAGGGAAGGCCAAAGAAACTGCATTTTTCAGGAGGATTTAATCTGGGTGAGCAAAAGGCCCTGGGGAATGGCTGTCCTTGAAACAAAGATTACCACTGAAACCACTTGAAGGGGGGGGGGGGCACGCTTTACTTCTTAAGGGCCTTACACACCAGCACTTGGGAGTGGGGGGGGGGGTCAAGAGGGTCAGGAGTTGAAGGTCATTCTTGGTTTCACTTCCAGTTTGAGCACGTGCTGGAGGTGTGAGACCTTTGCTCAAATAACAAAAGAGAGTGGTGAGGAGACTGAGCAGGTAAACAAGCTCTCCTCCAGGCCGTGAGCTGAGTTCAGTTCCAGTGACCCCCGTGGTGGAGGGAGAGAACCGGCCCCTAAAAGATGTCCTCTGCCTTCACACCTGCGCTGTGCCATGTGGCCCCCTCCATAAATAAATGTAAAAGCAAGTTGGGCGGTGGTGGCGAACGCCTTTCATTCTGGCACTCAGAAGGCAGAGACGGGCAGATCTCTGTGAGCTCGAGGCCAGCCTGGTCTACAGAGCTCTAGGAAAGATTTCAATGCTACCAAGAAACGCTGTCTCATAAAACCAAAACAAACAAACAAATAAATAAATGTGAAAACAAAAGTACCAAAAAAAAGGAAGAAAAAAAATCAGACACTGGTGTTACAAAGACCCTTAATCCCAGCACATGGAAGGCAGAAGCTGGCAGATTTCTGTGAATTTGAGGTAAGCCTATATAACAACTTCCAGGCCTGCCAAAGTTACCGGGTAAGAACCTACCTCAAAAGGAAAAAAGAAAGTGCTTAGAAGAAAATCCTAAGGTTGAGGATTAGCAACACACAAGAGAGATTGACAACTGCTCAGTCACATACATGCATATCCATGTACACACATACATGCACACACAGCTTGTAGTGACAGTCTCACCTACAGACACTTCACTTTGCTTAAGGGATTACACAAGAACCTGCCCGGAGGCTCACGGGTATCTGGAGCCAATACATGAAGCCTCTCATAGTCCTTGGCCCACAAGCTACCCCTTTCCCAGAAACCTTCTCCCGCTGGGCTGGGAGGCCCCAGAGTGAATCAGGCAGCCATCGCTGAGTGCCTGCCTGCTGGCCGTATTGCTAGCCTGTGATTCAACTGGTGCCAGAGCTCCAGCTGTGGTTTATGGGAGTGGGGACATCTCCTGCCAGGATACCCTCTGCTCTCCACCCTCTGGGCTTCTAGGCCTGTCATTGCCTGGGGTGGATCTGCAAAGATGCAGAAGGCAGGAATTCCTCAACACAAATAGGAGACAAGAGATCCCAGCGTAGTGATGAATGAATGCCTTTAGTCCCAGCACTTGGGAGGATCTCTGAGTTCAAGGCCAGCCTGGTCTATGTAGCAAGCTCCAGGACAGCCAGGACTACATACAGAGATCATGTCTCCAAAAAAGAAAAAAAAAAAAGAAAGAGAGAAAGAGAGAGAGAGAGACAGACAGAGAGAGAGAGAGAGAGAGAGAGAGAGAGAAACCAGTCTACAGCACCCTATCCCCCATTTTGCCCACTCTAGACTAGCCTAGGAACCAGAGCAAGGGAGAAAAAAAGGTGCATGTATGTGTGTGAATGTGTGTTTATGTATAATGTATGTACCCAAGTGCTATGAGGGCCCAGGATCATGAATTCATACATAGGAGTGCATGAGGGAGGGTGTTACAAGCTTGGATATGTGTGCCTTATTCTCATAGATCTCCATGTACTTATATGTGAACAGTTCTACACTGTCTGTATGGATGCACCTGTCTAGAATCCTGGGGTTGCAGATCAACACAGAGCATCTTCTTCATACCCCACCCCGCTCCTCTAGACATAGGAAGGCACACAGTTAGTAAGTGAAACAAGGGCATTTGAGGTCCTTGTTCCCCTCCACGAGCATGGTATCCACACAGATCCAAACATGGGCCTTCTTACTCCTTCATGGATGAAAGAGGACCCTACTTGTAGGAGAAGAAGGATGTCTTCCAAAGGCCCCTTATTCCCGTCGGCTCTTATACACCTGGGAGAGAGAGGATGAAGGCTGCAGGTACGGAAGTACCAGGCTGGCCTGAGTGTGGGGTAGAAGGGAGATCCCCTCGTTAACGGCTGAGTAACTCTGGGACATCATTGTCCATATAGTTAATGTGATTGGTACCCGCCCCAGAAAGTCACAGAGAAGAGGCGCCTGGCTAAAATCCCAACCCTCTGAGTCACACAGCTTACCTGGAGCCCTCTGGGCTCCCACTTGCACTTGGAAAGGACAGCCAAGATTGAGAGCAAGTAGCCAGCCAGCTCCTCTGAGAGCTCTAGGGAGGCAAGCAGGAAGTGGGGCTCTTCCTTGGGCATCTGAGCAAGGCCTATGT